TAAAACTCTTGTGTGCATCTCTCAGAGCCTCCCTACCTTAACTTACTTACTCCTCTCCATCTTTTTTTTCTCTCTCAAATCTCTTCCTTCCATTCCAAATGTTTATTTCAGTAAATCTCTGTCTTTCTCATTGTCTCCTTAAAAACCATGCTTGAAAAGTATACCTTTTATGCATCTTTGAAACCCTGTCTTTCTGATCTTTCAGCTATTTTTTCTTTTTTTGTCTTCCCTCTGCTCCAAATTTCCTCCAGCAAATACAGTAATAATCTAATTCTGCTTGTCTAAATCACACTCATACTTCTCCTCACTTCCTTTTTATTATTTTGTTCCATCTTTCCAGCCTGACTCCCGTATCCAGCTCTCCTATCTTTGTGTTTTCATGTTATGCCTCATCTGAACATCTTATTACATCTTGTGCCCCTCTGCTCTCCCCTCGTCCGTCCTGTTTGTTTCCTGTCTATTTCTATCTTTCTCACTCTCTCACCGGCCCCCTCTTATTCATTTGGCATCCGTCCTTCCTTCCGCTTCTCCTCTGCACTCACTTTCGCCTCAAATATATTTATGTTTACACATTAAGTCTCTTTTCACCTTTATTTTAAACCTCCCTCCTTCATATCTCCTCCTTGTTATTAAACTTCCTGTAGATTTCTGTCTCACATGTAGAATTTTTGCACTGCTTGAAACTGTAACGGATGGATGAGGTGGACTCCTTCTGTTCTTTTCCAAAATGACTCTGCATTTCCCAAGAGAGGCCAATGCGTTGTTCATTTGTTTCTCTGTGAGTCACCTGCAATATCTCAGACACTACTTACTAGATTTTGACAGTCTAAGGGAAATGATGCATCGCAACTCTAAAATTTAAATTTGCCTAAGGGATGGAGCCATAATTACAGGTTAGTAAAGGTAAAATGTTTGCTAATTGCTGGCACAAAGGTTTCCCTGCATCATTAGTGAACACATGTTTATTGTATGGTATGGTATCCCTCCCTTCCTCTATATCGCCTGCATCTTTTCGCTTTGCATATTGTCCCTCTTAAATACATCTTTTTTAAGCTTTTCACTCTCATCTCGCACGCCTCCTCACTTTTGCTTTCATTCTTGGTCTTACGCTTTCGTTATCTAACATTGTGTTTGCATTTCTCCTCAATCCTCCTCCTCCTCATCCGCCTCCTTCTCAGCTGCTCTTTGTCTCTCAGTTTGGCTTGTATGGTGGGTATGCAGGCATACATATTTTGTGTCTGTGTGTGTGGGTGCGTCTCAGTGTGTGTTCATCCCTGAATGTCTAAGCCTGGCTATCAGCAAGGCCACTCTCTGATATGTCATCCTAATAGTCTTACCTGACCTCTAATCTTGAAGCCGACACACTGATCATTGGATACGGCTACGCATAATCAACCACTTCTTTGTTTACCTCTGATAATTAAGCACAGCTAATTAAGAACTGGCACTTACCACTTCATCTCTTTGCTGTGATGCTAGGGTTACTCACTGATTACCTTTGTTTTGCTTTAAAATTGCTCCACCAAATCATTAACTTTGCTTTCTATTGCCTCGGGAAAGTCGAAGGAAAATCAGCATTTGTGCCAGAGCAGGCAATAACAAGACTATGAACAAACTTGTTCTTCACAAGCAAACTATTGAGAGAAGGATGGTTATGCAGTCTTTGCACAGTCTCTGTTTCATAAGAAGAGGTAAACCTGTGCCATGCTAATTACATGAAACACTTCAGTTCCATTGTTTGCAAAGAAAGAGCTCATAGGTTCAGAAACAACTCCTGCAGAGGAGCTGCATTGACTAACAATGGATGACACAAACCATGGAGGCCAATGAAATGAGACACACAGAGGACCGAGCACTGCTGGGCTGCTCCTCAGTTCACACCAGCACAGTTCACTTATGTAAATAGACGGTGGGGTGTTGTTTGGGGATGGGAACATGATGACAGTCTGTCATTAAATCTCTCATTTGTATTCATGGTCGAAGGGACTGAACACTTCTCCTTTAATGGTCATGCTGGAAGGAAGAAAGTGGCAAGCTCCAGCAGAGGACATAAGGCAACCCGTTGCACATCTGTCCAAACCTTCTCAAGTCATCAAGCTGCACTGGAAGAGCACACACAGCATATTAGACAGTGGTATGAACATGCTGAAGTTAAAATTATACAGCAGGTTACAAAAACTTCAGGTTGTTCCCATGCAAAGGTAGAGCATTTTCTATAGGCCATTTTTTTTAAATAGATTTTACGGAAAAACATCTCTATGTTTTGATTTATGTGTTCAGGATCACAGAAAGTGCAATCCTATGACATCATCTAATTACTTTGGTTGAAATGGTTGAAAAAAACAAATTATGGACAGTCAAGTTCCCATGCCTACATGAAACGGTTTTCCCTATCATTTTCCTATATCTTATTTTCATGCCGCAGAACAGGCTCAGTGCAAATTCTGTCAGGATTTGAGGTGAATAGGGTTGTGTTTATGTGTGTATGTGCGTCCATGTTTGTGTCTATGTGGATGTGCAAGCCTGCAGGGATCTATGCGTGTGTTTGTGTGTCTGTCTGTCTGTTTGCTGTAAAAAATATATATATCAGGGCTGAGCTGCAGTTTTGTTCCACTTCATCTTTCTATTTACTCATTCAGTATTTCAGGAAGGTATGAAATTAAAGGTCTACTCATTTGGCTCCTGATAGAGTTTTGACATAAATGTCTGCGGCGTGGCGAAAGCTTTTTCCACAACAATTTTCGATTGCAATGCAAATGACAATTATGTTGGCAGTCCCTCTCACCCTCTTATCTTCCCACCGAGCCAGAAAAAACAATTGGACTAAAAAATTTACCCACCGAGATGAGCGCTCTCCATGAATACAAAACACATTATTTCGGACGACCTGCTTGACACTGAATAGCACACAATTACCATGTATATGTGCCTTTCTGCAATTTCACTGTGAGATCTGAAAAAAAGGTGTGTCAGTTTGGACAGAGTTTTTAAATGCAGACTGCACAAACTGTGAATACTTAGAGCCACTGAACATAGAATATATTTGTTGTAATATCCAGAGAACTCCTCTTGAGTCTGGATCTTCTGCTGCATAAAGTAAATAATAAAAAAATAAAGGCTTTATGTAAACCGCTTGACGAAATAGTGTGGGAGTTTCATAGAGATGATTATTCAAAGATAAGAACAACACAGCGCAGAGTCAGACCTGGGTTAACAAGAGATGCAAATAGATGTTAGTAGTTGCTTTAATCTGCTTGGAGCACCTGACAGTTCAATTATCTCGTGAAGCTGTCCGGACTACTGTCACAGCCACAACCTTCTAAAATTTCATGTACTATCTCATGTGGCCAACACAACCTATACGAGATGAATTTAATCAATAACATAAAATCTCCATCTCTGGGCTGCAAAGAGCCTCATGTACAGTTTCTGTGAAAGAGGATGCCTTTCAGATTAAGTGTTACATTCTGGTTACATCAGGAGTGTATCCTACACTCAGAATTCCTTCACTGCTTTATTAAATATGGACCAAATCCCTGCAGAGTTTATGTGATCACATCCCAGAATCTTATCTATGTCCTGAAGTTGAGTCAATCTTCCAAACTCTGCACAACCGGCTGTTTGAATCTATTATCCAAAATAGTTGGCCCTCTAGTTTTTTTTTAAACTTACTTTTCATTTTTGTTGCTGGCTGTGATACCTCTGAAAGCTGTTATGCTGCTAAGCAGGTACAGCAAATAAAGTGCCATGTCAAGCAGAAGCAGGCTTGAAAACCCCCTCCGGCAGTATGGCTCACCAGGCTGAACAAGCAGCTCGTGGTCGAGATTATCCATGTCAATGGAACAGAAAATGAGAATCAGGATTTGCAATGTATCTGACAGCATGGAGGTTATATGCTTCGAGTTGAAGGTAGAATATTATTTGACTATTTAGGTTTTCTTTACATTTCATATATGATTTAAAAGGCTTGAAAGTGGTGGATTTGAATATTACAAATGAATAGAATAAATGTGAGCGATAGGGGCAACTAATGGACGTCCTCATACAAAAGAGTCGTTGAAAACCTGTAAGATAAAAACATCAACTTCAGTTCTAGTAATCATTGTGCAAACACAACAAATGTTGCCCAAGCGGTACTCAAGTAAGGGTGGTGTTCAATGATAGATAAGGGTCAGGAAAAAAGCGATACAGTTTGAGCACATTCAACACCTGACAAAATAACTGGAACAACTGTACAAGTTAATGCAACAACAAAATAATATTTTGCAGCTTGTAATGTTCAGGTTTCATTTACAATGTGTAGAGCTGTTTAATTAACTTCATGGTCATTTCAAGCTGTATTTGGCGGGGTTTTTGTATTGAATTGCAGTATATTGTTATGTGTTTTTATTTTTGTCTCTCCTGCAGGATTCCAATGGAGAGGGAATTAATATGTAAAAAAACGTTATTTCATATGCAAGCAAATAACAAGGATTGAAAGTGTTTCATATGAACAAATGGTAAGTAATTTCCTGTTTTACAGCACTCCTTTATAACCTACCTGCAAAATAAAATTACTTCTATTCTCAAAGTGTGATCTGCTTAACCTTCTAGAGGTAAAATAAATGTTTTAAAAGTATAGGCTACTTTAGAAGATGTACTTATATCATAACATCTACAAACGTTACATGTTTTTCCATTAAAAAATACAGTGAAGTAAAGGTATAAGGTCACTGTAAACACACATTCAACAAGTGTCTATGCATATTATATTACAACCACAAAAATATGACATAGAAATTCCAGAAACAAAATATTTACATGTTGTGTTTTAGCTTTATCCGGACATACTGTACATGCTGGAGCTGTAATTATGTGTACAACAAGTAAACATTACAACAGTATACACAGAGAAACCTGCGGAGCTCGCGTCTCTCGGACCGCCCTCTGATTGGTCTACTGTGGGGCAGAAGGCGGGGCTCCCGGCTGTGGGCGTTTCACAAAACCAGCCACCACGCAGCTCGAGCGTTCATTCACTACGGATTTGTTGAGTTACCCTGATCTCTCTGCAGTTTTATATTTCCTGAACAAACCCACTTGCGTTTTGCTTTTTAAAGTCGCTGCATGCGTAAAGTGTTTTTCTAAGCGTCTCCAGGTGCGCGGACAAACTCTTCTCGTTAAAGCTTTTGTTGTTGTTTTTTGTTGGTGTTTTTTTTTGTTGCACAACTTACCTGAGTTGTGTTTCCACTCTGCACGCCTCCACTCCTCTCCACCATGGATTTGGTTTGGATTGTGGGCTTCGTTGTGAGCGTCTGCGCCTGGTTTGCTTCAGCGGAGCGGCACAGCGTCTACTGGAACAGCACGAACCCAAAGTAAGTATATGTTGCAATTTGTTTTTTCACCCCCATGTTAATTGAAGTGGTATTAAACCCACGATTGCACACACTAAAAAAAAAAAAAAAAAAAAAAGCTATAAATGCATAAAACGAGATTGTTGCACATTAATGATCAGTGCAGATATGTCTTATTATGATCCATATTCAGATGCATTTGAATAGTTGCAACTTCATGCATATTCAGCGAGCTGGTTGTGATGAATTTGTGATGGAGGCGACTCGCTGCTGTTGTCATGATAATGCAAGACAGTTAGGAGGCCTACTCCCTCCCCCCTCTCTCTCCCTCCCCTCCCTCTCTGCCCTCGAACCTGTTATTATAGTGCTGTTTACCTGTGATACTTTGTCTGCTCAGATTTAATCCGTTTCGCAATCTGTGTACCTGTGCTGCGGGATTAGTTACATCAGGTTATGTCATTTATTTATCTTTGTCAACTGACAGTGGGCTAGTTGCACAGCTCATACTTCTGAGGACGGATAGCTCCTTGTTAATGGGTGAATGTTGGGGTTTCATGGACAAATAAATGCAAGGTTTAAGTTAATTTTGAAGCTCATATTTTCTTTTTAGGACATGATCTATGAACACTACTGAAAATACATCTCCTAATTTGGACTCTTAAGTGTCTTTCACACAGTTTATTTCTTTGCAAGAGTGAAGCAAAATGTAACAGTGAAGTCAATCACAGTGTTAAAAGTGAATATGTGTTCTCTGTTATGTGGAGGTTGTTGTGTCTTCATTCATGAGCTGAAATCCTGTTTTCCTTGGCAAGGGTTATATTTTTTGTGTTGGTTTTTTACAGATCTGACTCACGTCTAATGTGTTGAAATATCTATTGCAATATCCCCCATCTGACAGAGGCTCCTAACCTCTGTGTGGAGTGGGAGGTTGCGTTATCTCCTAAATCAAGAGATATCACATTGGGTTTAGGTGGCTGTCAGGGAGACATAAGGGTGTTCATATTTCAGGTGGTAAGACGAGTAATAATGGTGTATGACAGAGACAGAGGAGGTAACTTGAGGCCTGCCCAGTAGGTCACGCTGTGGGAGAGAGATGGATTGCTCAGGGAGGGAGAAATTGGAGCTCAAATTGTCGGGGTTAGGGGCCATTCAGAGTAAGTGGGGGTCAATTAGAATTATGGTTGATGATGGCTGGGGTGAAATGACTCGGGGTATGTGAAGGGTTAAGTTTACACGCCACAAACGAACTTGTACATGCACCTACACAACACACACACACACACACACCCACTCACACCCACTCACACACTGGAGGCAGGCAAGCACAAACAGAGACTCCTGGCAGATAATCACTCAATCACAAACCAGGACACTCAATCACACCAACCGACGCCATCTAAATCAATCAGTGTTGGGCTCAAACTCTTTCTGGTGTGTAAACACACGTCTTTTGTTGCAAACACTCAGATATTCAGATATTGTCCCACAAGCTTACACTTTTCCCTCCTGATGTCCCCTGTGGTTCAAACTACAGCATTTACTGTTCTCAGAAAGACCATAATTAGAGCGACAAAGCCTTTCACTGAAAATCAGAATGAAGTCAATGTCCCAGATGGAAAGGCGTTTTGTTGTTTCCCTGCTGTGGAACAACGTGCTCATTCCTGTATATATACAGATAATCCGTCCTTTTGCACTTGCTATTTTTTTCTGGATGAATGTGCTAAATCTCTCCCTTTGGCTATTCTTAATCCTGTATTCGCAGAAAAAGCACAGAGTTTCTGAGATGTTTTCATTTGGTCCTTTTCATCATTTCCCGCAATCTGTTCTCCCCTTTGACCCGTTACTTGATACAGTGTGTTGATGTCCATCTTATCCCCCATGAGAGGCGTTTTCCATTTTTGACCTCGGTTTATTGTTCCATCCTGTTGGTCAGAAAGCTGCTGTTAATCAAATTGATCGCAGATTGATCATTTCGGCCCATGTGGTACAGGCTTATTTCACTGTTCTCAGTGTATTTGTTGAGGGATTTAGCCACACACACACACATTCATACATTTACATGCACAGTTGCCCTGCTCTCCACTTATGTGTGTGAGCACGCCTTGGGCCCTGCTGACTTCCAAGGTCGTATCTGCCTGTACTTGAAATGAAATCTATCCCTGTCAGTGTGTGTTTCAGAACTCTCTGACCTTTTACTTGTTATATTAAATAGTATATTAGTAGCTTTTGTGTCTGATTAGCAACACATTAATCACAGGCACTGGTTCATTCCCAGAAAAGAGGCTCACCAGTGTGCCCAGTCAGCTTAGGTCCCGGCATGCCAGTGTGTGTACGTGTCTTTTGTGAAGGGAGTGTCTGTGCAGAAGCTTGTGTATATGTGTGAGCACTCACTTGTTTAACATCACCAGATTCAAGTGACTCACGCCCTCTCATACACATTAACCCAGTCGTCCACACACACATACACACATGTGCCTCACGGTTGTGATTGATGTTAACATCGTCCCAGGAGCCCTCTGGACTCTACAACTCCAATGCGAGGCAACAATCTGCTCATTCACTGCTTCTTCCACCCTTTCGCCTTTTTTCCCTGCTGACAGAGCATGAGAAGACCACCACCCACTCCTCCTCCTCCTCCTCCTCCTCTGCTTTGTACCTGTCTCCCCCTCTCTCCACCACCTCCCTCCCCCTCTTCTTGGCCAGGTTCCCTTTTCAACTTGGTTCTGTGGTCTCCAGTTTTGTGAGTCTGTTAACTGTTTCATGGCCCCTCTCACACACGTTTGATCCGCTGCATATTTTAACATCATTATCACCTTTTCTGTTATTCTAGCACAGTTACACAGTTAATCTCAAACTCAAAAGTCTTTGTTGTTCTATGTCTTTCTGATGAGCTCTTTGATTTTGATAAAAAAAAAAAGCAAAATATGCTTCCAGATTGTCTACCGTTGCTGGCGCCGTGGTTTAATTCCTTTGATTGAATCAGATTTTTGTGATGGCCCAGATGAGGGAGTTATTTAAGCTATGTTCCACCCACATTAAGGAATTTTTTGGTATTTATCCAGTCAATATGGGTGTTTTGTGATGCTTCCCATACAAATTGGGGAATGGTCTTCACGGTGAGCCACAGAAAGAGAATAGTAACTGGTGTGACTGATTGGGGGTCAGAGTTCCCCATGTGATGAAGTGGCACAGCCTCTATCAATCTGTCAGTCATTCTGTCACGGCGGTGGTCCCTGAATACTGGCTGCCACTCAGGCCAGCCCCTCTTCACACGGCCGTGGCTCGGCCTCTGGGAAACTCTCATTCTTCCCCCTCCTGTCTTTTCGGTCCCCTTCGCTCCTTCACCAGCTTTTATCTCAACTTTACAAGCTGTCCCTTTTCAGTCTATTATTTTCCTGTATTTCCTCTGGCTCTCAGAGAAGGGGGGAAGGAGGGAAGCATGCTAAGAAGTGTGGAATTTTTTTATCGTTCTTGGCACCCATGGCGATCCGTCACAAGGCACTTTGCCCTTTCCTTCACGCTTTTTCTCCCCCTCAGCTCTTTCCCTTAAAGCTTCCTTCTTCTACCTTCCTATGAAAGGCCACTCTAGTCCTCACAGCAAACCTGTTTAATTTTTTCCCCCTTCTTACTGGTCTTTTCACTTGTCTGTCTATTTATGCTTCTCCCCTCTTGAGTGTCTTGCTGAAACAGTGGAAGTGGTAGAGCCAGTCTGAGAACTCAAACCATGAAAGGACGGGGTTTAAATGAAGAAAAAACAAAAGTATATGTGTAGGAGTTGGTCTGTTTTTCCTCCGCCCATGTTTGCGCATACATGTTTGATAGATGGAAGATGAGATTGGGTCGTCACATCTGCGGGTATGATAAGTTGGACACAATAGATAAGAGATTTCTGCAATTTCCAAGTAATCTGAATTGAAGCTACTTTCCTCGAAAAACATCCAGGTTTATCACTTCACTTCCTAATCCAGCCTCGCTCTAACCCCCCCAACCCCCCAGGTCGGCCCCTCTTCAGTAAATTCCTAAGTCTGTGTCCATCTTTCTCGCATCGTCTGTCCCCTCCCACTCTTAATCTGCCATGGTAATCTGTCTGGTGAATTCAATCTGGAAAATACTGAGAGATTGTCAAACGGATAGTAATCGCCTCTCATAAGCTCAGTGATCATTGAAGTGTGTTGATGCGTCATATCTTTACAGACTGTAATCGTCTGTAAGAAAACTTCACCTCTGTGACCATACTGACAAGAGTTCCCCTCCGAAAAGCAAATTTTCTTCCTGTTCAATATTCCCACTTGTTGTTGTGGTGTCAGAGGCAGGAGGGCTTGTTTTATTGACTACACTAGATAGAGAATCAGGCCAAAGGTTTTAACTTCCCGCAGGCGTGCTGTCAGCGCTACCAAAGTCTGCACGCTGTCTGCTGCGTGCTTCCCTATGAAGTGCTGTACTTCCTGGCTACGTCTTTTCCCGGGAAAACAGCGTATCCTGTCTGCACAATAAACAATACAGTTCTCACACACCAACACACGCAAGACTGTAAAAGTCTGGACTCTGGAGTTGATTGAATTTCCCAGGCTTGTATGAGAAAAATAAATAAATAAAAAATTCTGAGAATAAGTAGATTAGCACTGATTAATTGAGATTAATTGTTTTCCTAAGGGATGCGCTCAACTGTCAAGCCTTGAGGAGGATTTGGGATCCGCCTCCCCGCCTGCCTTACTGTCAAATCTAAACCTGTCTCTATTTGGAATTCTCCTTCTTCTCGATCAGTGTCGCCCTGGTCAACACCGCCAGCTTTTCTCCTCCCCCTGCCCATCCTCGTGCCTCTTCCTTATCTTTGCAGCAGACTTCCCCTGCTCCTCCCCACCCTGATCCTCCTCTCTGCACTGCTTTACATCTGCTCAACCCCACACAAAAAATCACAGAGGAAGAAAAACTCCATTAGTGCACGGATTTATGATTGTGGTACAATTATAAGTGGAGCCAGCGCTTTTTCCCTCATGGTGTGTGTGTTTGTGTGTGTGTGT